AGCAGGACTCTTGCGTTCCAAAGCCATGGCTGCAGTGCAATGGGAGTTTTGCCGTGGTGTCCGGCCGACCGGAGACGGCGTCTCCCTGGTGGAGCAGGCGTGGCAACCGGTCACGAACTACGAAATGATCCTTGGCCTGGACAACGGGCGGGAAGATGATGGGTTTTGGTATGAAGGGCAAGCGTGGCATTGTCTCACTGCAGACAGCTTTGAGATGCGGCTCTACCAGTCCCTCACGAACCCGGCCAACAACATCATCGTCCGGCCCAGGCGTCGCTACAACATCATCCTGGAAGTGTACGCCTCCATCATCCGAGGAACAACATGGGTAAGGTTGGGCTTTCAGCATGGCAGCCCTGTGCAGACGCATAGACATATAGAGAGATGCCTCTGCAATTCTGATTGATAGGAAGCACGTAGTTTCGTAATTCCTCTTCGTTGCTTGACTATATATATATATATATATATATATATACAGTTTCACATACATACATAAACACATGGCACACTGTGTATATATATATATATGTATATATATATACACATATACACGCATACATATACGTGTATATAGAACATGCTGAAATAAGACTATATAGAACATATTTATATGTATACGTATATATATATATATATATATATATATATATTTACATATAACATGTAGTCTCGCTTCCACACCCTGATAAACCCATGCAGGTTTCAGGCGAGATACAAGGCGACAAACAATGTGGCTGCAGACATACGGATCCATGGGGTGGACGGCATCTCCTTTTACGAGTTGCAGTGGTACCTCCGTGACAGCATCAAGCCTCCTGAAGATGCGGCCTTGCAGATCATGAGCACAGCGCACGATGAGAGGGTTTTGTCTGTGTTTGACTGTATGCTGTATGTTCGAGGGTCATCACAGCCAAATTACAAGCCACGTTATCGCATCCTTGAGAAGACGGAGCCAGGAGAGTGCCGCCTCAGGGAGTTTTTCCTACCGGTCACGGACTAGATCGGCAACAGATAATAAATCGCAAATATATCCGTAGATGCTACTGCCATAAACATGTGTGTATGTATAGTATGTATATATATATATATATATCGTTCCTGACAACGCTTCGTGTTTTTACATAGCAATCAACATCCTCTCAACCCTTTCTGAATGTTTTCTTTGTATATGAGTTTCTGCTCCGTGACCAAAGTCTTTTGAAGCAATTCTGTACATATGCAGTTTAGAGGTGGTGCAGAATCTCTGCGACTTGCAGGATAGCTTCACCCAAAAAATCAGATGCGATCCATGTTTTACAAGCTTGCCATGGATGTGACTGCATTGCACGTGTTGCTTCTTGTACACTGAAGCCATGTGTCCTGAAAGCTGCCTGCAGGTACATTATATAGAGCATGCCTGAGCATGGATGTGGCGGGCCGGTTCCGATACTTTGGTATATACGGAGGAGGTAACAAGAGACAAGGAGTAAAGGGGAGGTGCCATGGAAGAGGGCAGGGAGTGCACGTAAGTGTTGTGTGGGGGGATGACAGCTATATAGCGGTATATATGTGCACATGTCGCATTGTAAACATATATACCGAAAAGACAGACCGAGGAGGGGGGGTCCTTGGGGAGAAAGATGCTCATGGATGCGATGCATTGTGTGCTGGCAGAAGAAATAGTTTCGCCAAGCACGTTTGAGCAGGGGTGTATATATGCGCAACCTCGCTCAAGCAAGGTCAGGGTATAGACGCTGAGTACGCGGAGTGTATAATGGCACGGACGTGGGAGTACGTCCAGAACCCACAGCCATCAGGCGACGGCGTCTCGCTGATTCCCCAGGAATGGGAAGCCGTGGAGAACGTCTTGCTACCGGCGGACATGGTCTTGCTGTTGGCCGGTTTGCAAAGCCGTGGGAACATCATCTTTCAGGGCGTGTTCTGGAAACTCATCAGCGCGAATAGACAGGATATGCGAGTCTATCAGTCGTTTTCGTTTCCCTTTCAGAAGTTGGCGCTCCGACCGCGAACAGAACGCAGAGTCGTGCTGAAGGCCTATGCCTCCTTGACTCGAACGACGGTAAGGTGCCATGCTTGGCATTGCAAGTTGGTGTGTCATATTATATATATATGTACCTATATATGCCTATGTATACCTATATACCTATATATATATATATATATATATATCTATATCTATATCTATATCTATATCTATATCTATATCTATATTTAGATATATACATATATATATGTAATGCCCGCAAGACACTGCGACAGGTTTCAGCTCAAGTACGCGACCACCGACAACGTGGCTCTCGATCTGGAACTTCCATCAATGCATGGCGGAGTTTCTATGTATGACTTGCTCTTTGCCGTGACGGATGGATTGATGCTGCCTCCGGATGTAGGTGTTCAGATCTTGAGCACTGCGCACAGTCAGAGGCCCCTCACAATTTTCGACTGTATGGTTTTTATGGATGAGAGGCCCCCTGGCTATGTCCCAAAATACAGGATTGGGCACAAGCGGAGTGCAGGCGAATGCCGGCTCCGAGAGTTTTTTCTCCCTGTGGACTCATAAGCAGCATATATTGTGTACATATGCTTACATATATATATATATATATATGTATGTTTATATGCATGTGTGTGTACATGTACATATGTATGTATCTATGTATGTATGGGTCTATATAAGTATATAAATCTGTGAAATCTAATGACGATTTTCGAACAGGTATAGACATTCAAACCTGTTGCAGCACGACGGCCTCCCTCGTTTTCTCTGAAGAGGCAACCAGTCCAGTTCTTGAAAAAGCGAAGATGCTGCGCCTCTTTGCGTGTGCCTTGACATGTCTTCCACGCAGGGCATGCATGTGCGATACTGCAGGCCATGGCCGCAGGATCAGCAAGCAGGGTCTACGAACTCGCTTGGACGTGTGTGCAGCCTGCTCCGATCTCAAGCTGTGCTTCTATATACCCTTTTAGCCTTTCGAACCATGGCAGGGACCTTCGCAGACTTGGAAGGTAAGATCAAGGCAGTGAACGGGTTTGTGGAGGCGCAGAAAGGGGACGTGGATGAAAAAACGTACAAAGCCCTGAAGAGCACGCAGCTCAATCAGCTGTTGGACGAGATCGGCGTCTTCCGCGGCCTCACGCCGGAGAACGCAATCCAGGTGACCGCCATCGTCCGCGAGGGCCCGTGGGAGCCGGAGGACAGAGCGGTCCTGGCCGGCTGCCTTTCAAACAATCTGGCCAACCGAGGGGGCACGCCAGGGGCACATGTCCGCCGAGCAAACCAGGACTTGCTCACCTTCGCCCCCTTCTTAAGCCTGGCAGACCCGGCGATATCTCAGCATTGCAAGGCAGATGCCGTCGCGAGCCGGATGATCAAAATCCAGCTCTGGCTGGCCAGCGAGCAAGCATACGGTGAGGTCATTAAGACAGTGCAGGCGGCAGGCCTCGCCCTGGAAACTCCCGCGGACAAGTACGGGTTTCTGCAACTGCTCAAGAAGATGGTGAGGACTCGGGTCAAGAAGTTTCCCAAGACGATCGCATTGCCGAACCCGTTCCCTGCCAGTCCAGAGGACAGGTACATATAGTTGCATAGAATTCTGTATACTTGCGTTTGGTTGTGACTGGTTGTGTTGGTGTATGGAAAGATATCTGAACAACTTCTTTGAGGCTGCAGACATGTACGTATTGCGTATATATATATATATATATATATATATGCGTATCTGAAAACGGTTTCTGTATATATGTATCTAAATGTATATATATATATATATATATACTGCTCATTATTATAGAAGGTTTTTCATATTTTGGTATGAGACCGTGAATTTGGATTGCCCCTGCGTTCCAACAGGAATTGTCGGAGACCGTACGTTCGGCAGCGTATCAGCCTGACGATCCCCCGGTTGTCATCCAGGGGACGAATGTGCAGGCCACCATCATGAGGAAAAGCAGTGCCGAACTCCGGCCACAAGACGCCCTGATGGTCCTTCCGAACAAGAAACCGCGCACAAGCTTCGGGCAGCAGCAGACTCAGCAGACCCAGCAAGAGATGTTCGTGGGCATGGCAAACCAGTTTGCATCCATGATGATGAGCTATATGGGTGGCGGCTCCGCCGGTTCCAGCGGGTCGGCTGGCGCGGACTTGCCGGGGTTCCGGCTTTTGCAACCGCCAAAGGGGCAAGGCAAGCACGGTGTTGGCCAGCCTCCGGATCAGCAGACCGATTCGCAGCAGGACTCGCCGCCCCCGCCGCAGCAGTCACTTGCGACGCAGCGGCCAACGTTGCAGTCTCCGACGCAGCCAGAGGAATCAGCAACGAAGCCTGGCGCCCTGACGTTTGAGATGCCGGACACATCATCACCACCCAAGGAGGAACGTGCTCCTGATCGTCAGCCGCTGAGCGCACAAGAAGCTGCCAAGGCAGTCGAGAATGCGGTGGACAACCGCGCCGAGCAGACGAGCAAGAACAAGGTGGCCGGCATTCTCAAAAAGCCCGCGGCCGCAGTGACTGCTGAACCCAAAGCCAAGGCGAAACCCTTTATAAACCCTCAGCCCTATAACCCCTGTAAGCCCTATATAAACCCTATATATATATATACCCTATATAACCCTAAACCCTCAAGTCCACAGCCCAGGCGAAGGCCAAGTCCACCGCCAAAGCTCAGGCCAAGTCCACGGCCAAAGCTCAGGCCAAGTCCACGGCCAAAGCGAAGGCGAAGTCCCAGGCGAAGATGACATCTGTGACGGCAGGTCCGAACAAGGGCTGGGTTGTAGAGGTACGTGAGCGCAAAGGCGGGAATAGTGCCGGGCAAACCGACACGTACTATCGTTCTCCGAACGGTGGAGTTTTCCGCACGAGGGGCGAGGCCCAGAAGCACGGCTGGAAGGAGGCATGAGCAGAGAGTGCAGCTTCGTGTTACTGCTGTTGGTGATTGCATTGCTATATATATATATATATAGTGTTTTTGTTTCGGCTTTCCCGTTGTCGTTGTTGTGTCTTGATATATTACATACATATACGTACTTGTTGTGTTTGTAGCCAGATTTCCATTCCCTTACATGTGACTGCTATAGTGTGGTTGCTATTATTTGTATTGTTGTTTTTTGGTGGTAAACTGTTGTTGTTATGTTGTTATTGTTATCGTTACATGTTTTTTAGTGCTATAATACATGGCTATGTTATGGTTAGATTCCCATTGCAATTGTCATTCTTATACTGTTAATGTTAGTGATATAACTGTTGTATGCAGAGAATGCCTGTTTACATGTATATCGATATATCTATAGATGGGGGGCAGCAATGTTTGCATATGTTGTTTGCATCATCGGCACCTGCTCATGTCTCTATGTATCTATAGATGCTCTGACATCGAAGCTGCCTGCATGGGCTTTTCGCCCTGGTACATGGCTCTTGTTCATCTACATGTCGCTGGCTCTCACGCAAACTGACCCGTGCATGCATTGCTCGGGTCTCTCTGTCTACAGAAATATATATATATATATATATATACATACATATATATACAGCGGTATTATGCATTGCACGCTGTACATACCTATATATATATATACATATGTTTAAATGTGTATACATATATATATATATATACATACATACATATACGATGATTCTTGCGTGATTTTGCAGAGCTGATGCGATTGTAGAGCCGATCTCGCAACCCAGCCAGAACTTTGCTGCAAAAAAAGACGTCTGCAGGAGTTGCATGCGACACTTTGCCGAATGCTGCATTCATTTGTTGCGTTGCAGGAGGCATGCATACCGGATGAGCGAACTTGACATGCTACGATGGCAGCCGCAACATGCTCAGTCGGGCTCATGTCGCAGTGCATGTGCTTCAAAGCGATCCTGCTGCAAACTCGGATATATATACAGTTTACCGTCAAGGTCTGCTTGTAGACACCGTGCAAAGCTTCTATATATGTACGACTATATATATAATATATACCTCAGATATATATCAGATGACATGGCAATTGCATGCATGCTTTATATAGCACTCATTGACTTGACACACAGTTAAGACTGTATACAGACTGAGTCTGCGTGAAGCATCACGTCTTGTACTTTTTGAGGGTGGCAGGTTGAAGCTGTTTCAATAACCGCCAACCCAAAGCTGCAGAGATCACTCGCAGCCTCGGTAGAGATGGCAGCCACCAAAATCCTGGAGGCCCATCGCAAATCCTTTGTGTCGCAGCGAGCGCTTGCTGAGATATTACAGCTGCTGCCGGAAGAGGAGGACCAACCCGCAACGTCCAGGGCCACCTTGAAACGGAAGCGAGACGTGAAGATGAACCTCGCCACTCCGTACGGGCCACTGTGGAAGGAACTCACTGGTTTCACCATGAAGGACGGGCCGCCACTCAAGGTGAGCTACGTCGATCCGCTGGCGTTGCTTTGGCATGCCTGCAATCAAGGGGGTGGCTTCCAGGAGTTCCTGCAGAACTGTGCAGCGAGAAGCCCCTGCAGTCCACGGCAACCATGGGATATATGCCTTTATGTGGACGAAGTCTCTCCGGGTAATCAACTGAAGCCGTTAAACGAACGCAAGCTCCAAGTGCTGTACTTTTCCCTGAAACAGTTCGGGGGCTTGGCGCTGAGCAAAGAAGACTCGTGGTTCGTGCTGACTGCAGTGCGTTCCACCGATGTCAAGCGCCTCACAGACGGCATGACGCAGCTCATGAAGAGGTCCGCGTATTGCAGATATGATTTTTGTTGGTGTATTAAGGGACATGTGTGCAAGATGTATACATGTTTACATATGTATCTATCTATATATATATATATATATAGGGGAGGTGCATGTATATGCTCATGGACATGTATATAAATGCATGTATTTACAAAGTATCATGGCATATACCAGGATCTTTGGCATCTTCCTTTTGGACCGGCGAGATCAGCTGCTGCACGGCGTAAGGCTGCCCATGCCAAATCAACGACACTGGATGCTTTGCTGCCGCCTGGGCGGCTTGGTCAGTGTTGACATATTAACACCCCAAGCTCCAAACATTCAGCATATACGCACAATCGATGAAAAACGAAGCAAGTACATATATATATATATATATACATATATATACATATATATATATACACATGGAGGTAATTTTTTTGAATATGTGTATATCCTATACATGTGTACACATGTATATGTGTGTGGGTATATATATATATATATATATATACATATATATATATTGATATACACACACACGCACCCTTTTTCCGCAGTGTGTATATACATATATATATATATATGTATATTGTTTGTATATATATACATATACACATTTGTGGTTTTGGAATGTTTTCGTGTGTATGATATTCGGAGGCCTCTTGATCGCGGACGAGGCAGCACTCAAGAGTGTTTGGGAAGACAAAGGAGCCAGCGGCACGAAGCTCTGCTTCATGTGCCAAAACGTTGTGTCCCATTCCTCAGGCTTGCACACCACGGACGCAACAGGCAGTCTGGTGAGCCATGTCAGCCACCAGAAGAGCCAAATGCTGCAGCAGACGGACGCCAGTATAAAGGAAGCGGCACAACACCTCGCCCAGTGCCGGCCCTTGATGAACAAGGGCACATTTAAAACGCGGCAATTCGCCCTGGGGTTGAACTTCTGCGAGCACGGGGCGCTCTTTTCTCCTGAACTGCGGGAGTTTTTGAGACCTATCTCCATGACCATGTTTGACTACATGCACAACTTTGTTGTGGCTGGAGTCTTTCATGCGGAGATGACAATGCTGCTGCAAGTTTTGCAAAGCCAGGGCATACAGCAAGACGAGATGCCACTGGACAATTGCTTTTTGTAAGTGGTTTGGTTATAAGGAGGTTTAATATAATATGTGTTTCTCATAAGTTTCATTATATATATATATATGTATATAGATATATATAAGGTGTATATACTCTCCATGCGTCCAATGTGCATTATAAGTCAAACAAGCACGCAGGCACAGCTTCGTGAGTGCTTCCCGCTGGCCGTCTGCGGTTGGGGACAAAGGCGCCTCCGTCAAGAAAGTCTTCGCTAAGAAGATGAGCGAGTTCAAATCCGCGTCGTCGGAGGCTATGGCATTGTACCCGGTGATGCGGGCCTTCTTGCAGGAGAAACTGCCAAGCGTCCGGGACCACGAGTGCAGGGAATGCTGCCGCTGCTTTTTCATTCTTTGCGAAGTCCTGGACCTCCTCTATAAGACGGCGGCACCACAGGATCCTTCAAACCTAGCTGCTGTTCTGGAGCAGAAAATCGCAGCCCACCTGGAGCTGTTCAAACAATGCTACGGGGTGGAAAAGGTCATTCCAAAGCACCACCTGAACATGCACCTGGGGGACCTGCTGCGGCGTCATGGCGTGCTCCTCTCGTGCTTCGTGCACGAGAGGAGGCACAAGGAGATAAAGAGATACGCGAATAACCTCGACTCCATGCAGGCAGGATCCGAAAAACACATTCTGGAAATGGAATTGGAGGAACACCTAAAGAACCTCCTCGTTTTCTCCGAAAGGAGAACGGGGTTGGTCAACCCCAAGGCTGCCGCCGGGTTGGTGCAAAGCGCTTTCTGCGATTTCTTTTCTTTGCCAGGCTGTCCTGGACTGCTCGTAAGCATGTCGTGCCACGTCGGGAATGGCAGGCTGTGCAAGCGAGAGGACCTGGTCGTGGTCCGTGCGCCCAACGGCGAATCAGTGGCACAGGTGTGGTTCCATGTGGAGTTCAACGGACACGGCTACACGTGCATGTCCGACTGGCGCGATTTGGGGCGAAATCGTTTTCAAACCTGTGAGGAGCCTGTGTTCCGAGCAACTGAAGACATCTGCAGACTTTGTGCTTTCAAGACAGAGGGTGACCGTGCTTTGGTCATACCGCTCAGTATGCCCATGTGAAGATGCGGGCATGGTTCTCCAGATGTCTCCATTCTGCAGGGTGCCTATATCTCGCAGAATGCTGTGCAGGACATGTTCGCACAGCCAGCTTGCAAACATCTCTATACATAGGGATGTTGCGAACCATTTTCCCGAAACCGCGCGGATCATCGCAACAAAAGATCGCAATCGTTCGACAAACTTGGGTCAACACATGAACATTATATGTCTAAAAAACGGGCCTCAAACGAATATGTATACCACTGAGTTCGCATGCAATATATTTGATTTAGTATATATAAGCCTCATAAGTCATTCCACCCCTCTCCAAACTGTCAAGCATCGTGCGAACACTGCACCATTTGATGAAGTATTTTCTATATACAGGAAGTGGTTGTAGAGTGCTCTTGTCTGCGTGCGCTTCTAAAGCCTGTATATATATATATACATATAAACACATTTCTTGTTCTATAGAACTGCATGCCCGAATCAGCTAGGACGTCAACCCCCTGCTTCTGACTCTTTGCCCCGCGACCCCTGTCCGATGCAGGCTGCCGCCTACGTCATGCTCTTTGCGGCCACCGCTGTGCCATGGATTCTGGGGGTTTGGTTTGTATATAGGTGGTTATGTATATAGGGAATACCATAAGAGGTCAATGTTATATATATACACACCTGTATATAGATAGATCGAAATATTATGGTTTACAGTGGTGTATATACAGGTCTGTACAGATGTATAGGGTGTTTAAATTAAGTGTGTGTATATATATATATATATATCCTTTTATTATATAGGGGTATATATTGAGGATTGATACAGGGATATGTACGTAAGGTTGAATTGTGTATAGCGTTTCTGATTCTTGGGAAAAAATATATATATATATATATATATGATACACAGGAGTGTATATATATAGACATATACATATATACATATATACATATATACATATATACATATATACATATATACATATATACATATATACAAATATACATATACACATACATACATATATACATATATACATATAGACATATAGACATATAGACATATAGACATATAGACATATAGACATATAGACATATATACACATGCACATATTCACATATACACATATACACATATACACATATATATATACACACATATACACATATATTATATACATATATAGATATATGTATATATGTATTCATGTACAGAAACATATACATATACACGTATATACCTATAAACATCTACATATGCATGTACATATACTTACACTTTATACACAGTCACAAATATAGACAATATATATATAGTGGATATAGACATGTGTATATATATACATATGATGGCATATATATATAGATATACATACACATACCCGCACACAAACAAAACAAACATAAACACATGTTTTTTACATTATATATATAATATCGGTATATATATATATATATATATCCATACGCAAACTTTTTTGGCCTTTGGAACCCTGATTTAAACAGTGCAAAAGGTCGCCATGACAGCGCATTTAAGCCTCAGTTTTCCTGGCCCCCGAACCCACTTAGCCCACTTAGCCATGGAGGCCCGAACCCACTTAGCCCACTTAGCCTAAGTCCGACTTTCCACTTATCGGAACCGCGCTAACTGGGTTAGCCCTGCAGCCCTAACTGAGTTAGTTTAGGGTCCCAAACTAAGTCCACAACTGAGTTACGTGGTTTGTCTATAAGTCCGACACAAGTGCTGCAAGTACTTAGCAAGTGCGCCAAGTAGATATAACCACGCCGATCCTCCAAGTAGGTCGTAATGAAGCGCGGCGTTTTCTTCGAGGAGGTCCCCGCGAAGCGCTGCCGCGTCGCCGCCGCGGGGGGGTTCGGGGCGCTGCCCGAGGGGGTGCTGGAGGAGATCGTGAGCTTTCTCGCGCCGATGGCCCGCAAGGACGACCAGTATGCCCAGCGCGTGCGCATGGCCGCGCGCATGTTCGAGGGGCTCGCCTGCAACCACGAGGTCATGCCTCGGGGTCGCGACGCGCTCGCCCTGTTGGGCAGCTGCCGGCTGCTCCGGTACGATAAACTCTACGCGAGCACCTACGTCTTCCAGGCCGGCCTCCACCGGGCCTTCGTCGACCACTGCCTCGACCACCTCGCCGTGAGCTGCCGTTGCCCGCTGCACGAGCTCCGGAGCCTGCAGATCACCGTGGAGCGGATGGCCCCCTGGCAGGGGCGCCGCCACGCCCTCGAGCAGGCGCTCCTCCGACCCGCCGTCCGGGCCGTCGGGACAGGGAGAGGCAGACGAACTCTCCGAGGCTCAGGGGGCCGTCGGTGCGTTCAGTCACCCAGTGCATTTTTCTTTACATGAAGAAAACCGGCAAACATGAGGATCCAACTCGGCAGCATCCAGACCAATTCCAAGGGAGGGCGATACCTGCCGCTCCGCGGAGAGCGTCTCCGTCTGCCTCCAGCCCGACGACGCCACCAGGACATTCTTCCGGGATTTCGAGAACAACGTCGCTTCTCAGCTGTCCGAACGCTCCAGCCTCGACACCCGCCTCTTCGGCAAGTTTCTCAAGCCCGAGGAGGTGCAGGAGCGCCTCGTGTCGGCCCTGAAAACCAGCACCCGTGGCACGGAGTTCTTGAAGCTCAAGCTGCACTGGGAGAAGGTGCAGATCTGGGGCCCGGAGGGCGAAGGGATCCCGTCGGAGAAGCTGAGCCTTCAAAAGTGCCAGTGCAAGCTCCGCGTCGAGCTGAGGCAAGTTTGGTTGATGTCGAGCCAGTGCGGCGTGCTCGCCGAGATCACCGACGTGATGCTCCAGCAGAGCGAGCCGCCCAAGCCCGCGTGCCCCTTCTAGCGCGTTGAGCGGTCGGCCCTCCCGCCGAGGCGGCTAATAAATGTCATCGTGGGCACAGCAACGAAACAACATCCGCCGGGCCTTCGAGGCCGGCGCCTCCGCCAGGACCTCCGCCCAGGGCTCCGAGCTCCTGCGCCTGCCGGGCGGCCAGCAGCTTCTCCTGAGCAGACCCGACGGTCAGCCCACCCGCGCCGGGCAGTTCTACTACCAGCTCGCCGGGCGCCGCCCGCCTTCGCGGCGCTTCGACGAAGCACAGCAGCTCGTGCGTGAAGGGCCGAACGACTACATTTACCTTCGGGGCGGCACCAAGAGGCTGGTTCGCGCTCTGCAGCCCGACGGCTCCTATCGCGTCACGAAGCTCGGCAAGAGCTTCTTCCGGGACAAGTTCACCGAATACATTGCACACATGCCCGTCAAGATCCGCGGGAGGCGGCGCAACGGCAATCCCTACGAGAGGGATTTTTTCCTGCCAGTGACCCTGGAAAGCCAGGGGCGCCAGAGCGACTCCCTGGGCGAGGCGGAGGCTCACCGGAACGTCATCGCCGCGGCCCTGCGGAAGATGGGCGACCCGGAAAACGGGGCCGTCGTCATGGAACTCAGCGAGGAGGTCTACACCTACGACGCCGCGCGGGACTGGGGCGTATCCAAGCAGAGCATGCAGGTGGTCGAGAATCGCGTGGAGACGCAGGTGACGCTGAACCGACCCCTGGGCGTCCTGCGGGACGTGTCCTTCCAGCTCTTCAGGGGCTCAGAGATTCTGGAGAGCGCCTTCGAGCAGCGGGACGACAGGCTCTGCGTGGTGCGCCAGCTCTCGGAGCTGCTGCGGCTCCCCTTCCAGGAGGTTTACTCCGACTTCGACGCCATTTGCCCCCGAGGCTGGCAGAGGAAGGGCGTCACCGGCAAGCAGATCCGCGAGTTTTGCGAGTGGCGCAAGGCGCCCCTCTTCATCGTCAACTGCCGGGGCCAGCTGTTGGACTGCTACGAACCGCTCGATCGGGAGCACCGCGCCGTGGCCTGCTGCATCTACCGGGACCACGCTTTTTTTTATCGGAGCGCTCGCGCCGTGGCTTGCTGCGACGGCGAGCCGCGCTACCGGGGCGAGCGGCGGGACTCCACCACGCCCCTCTTCCGGGACTGGAAGGAGTGGCGGGGGGAGCTGGAGCCCGGGCACTTCTGGACCAAGAACCTGCAGCTGGCGCGGTCTCGGCTGCTGGGCCAGGGGCACCAGCCCCACGTCGCCATGCGCGGGTTGGTGGAGTGGCGCAGCCTATACGCCTCAGGGTCAAGGGGGGCGACTGCGTCGTTCACGAGTATCCCGAGGACGCCGAGGTGCTGCAGGCCTGGATGGACAGGCTCGACTTCGGCTACCGGGGGCGGGGGCGGCGAGCGAGGTCTTCGCGTCGCTGCTGAGGGCGCGCCGGGACAGGGGCGACGTGAGGCAGCTGCTGGAGCGGCAGGGGGGCGCCTGCGCCCAGGCTGCGAGGCGGACCACATCGTGCCCGTGAGCCAGGCCTTCTATGGCCAGAAGCAGGCCCTGCAGGCGCTGTGCCTGGAGTGCCACGCCTCGAAGACCTTGCTGGAGTGCTCCCACTCCACGAGCCTGGAGAGCAGGCTCTGTCGCCGTGCTCGAGAACTACGCCTGCTCGCCTCGGCCGCCGGCCCTGGTCTGCGGGCTTTCGAAGTGCGACCCCGACAGGGTCTGCCACGGCGTGGACGTGGTGAGGTGCCGCAAGAACGCGCTCGCGAACGCCCCCTTCCCCCTGCCCGTCTTCTGTCCCCTCGACAACATCCGAGAGGCCGAGGAGGGGAAGCTGGCGGATTTGACCTTCGTCAGGAAGCGGGAGGACCGACGCTCGCCCTTGGCGGCGAGGCTGCCCTACGTGGGCCCCGGCTGGTACGGGAAGCCGGCCACTACCTTCATGCTCCACGCGGGGATAGCAGCCTGGGCCGACTTCGAGTGGTCCCTGGACGCCACGGCGCACGTCTCGCCGGACTGCCTGGCTCGGGCTCTGGAGATCATGGAGCGGGCCTGGCCCGAGGGCGAGGAGCACATGGCGAAGCTCTCCGTCAACGCCCTGATCGGGCTGTGGGCTCGCTCCAAGGACGTCTTCTACTCCATGAGAACCAGCAACCACGAGGTGGACGGGCGGGGGTGTCAGTACCAGCAGGTCTTCG